CAGAACTGCCAGATCTTGATGTAACCTATGCAAACAAGTATTCCGGCGTCAAAAGACTGGCGAATGCTTTTTAATTGGCCAAGTGAGCCCCATAGGAACAAAGTTCTCGACCTAAGCTTCGGCAACAGAACCAACTACTACTACAGTGAGCTCCACAGCTCAGGTAGCTGCGTAAGCGCTGACGTTTTGCGATACTAATTCAATAGTTTTGCCAAGTATGTCAAATGATGGCATCGAGTTGGCATCACTAATAGTACAACTGTACCATTAGTATCATCTTGACGAACAGCTTACGTCAAGCAACCATTTCTCTTTCTTGCACATGTTTTTATGAGTTAACAATTGACATTTCGCACGTGTGAGATTAATAACTCATCAAACCTAATACTGCGTGTGCATACCTGTTTTACTTGTAACTTATTCTGGATCTTCAGTTTATTCCTACTGTATTGATGTTGTTGGTACACAAATTTCATTCAGTATTGCGTTATAATGTGGCTTATTCTTTGTGTGTTGTTTGGGATGACCTTGAATTATCAATATACACTGTAGTTGTTTTCATGTAACCATGTGCGAGAAGTGTTCTGTGAAATAAATTGATGAAAATATTTCCCTTCGTTGTTTTACTGCCAGCCGAAATGGCAGGCGGCTTTCTGAGCATTATTGTTTTTCTGTGAGTAGAATTTTGCCTTCAGATCATGCACACACAAAGCAATAGCAACAGCTGTAGCAGTTGTGTCTTCACACTTGCACTGTAAGGTTGAGGTTTTGGAGGATGTAGGATAATGTGGGTATGCATCTAAGCCAAATTATAAGCACGCACACGCAAATGCAATTGATGTAGCTTTACTACGGTAATTTTCACAATTTTGTGGGTTATGGTCTGGTGCTATTTGGTCCTGTCCTACAGCACGGTTGTTTCGAGATTTACCCAAATAATTTAAATTATCATTTAAAGTTCAATGAACTTATGAATGGCTTACTTTTCCGTTATGTCGACGCATGCTTGTATACCTACTATGGTTACCGTAACCGATATCTGGCATAAATAAGCCGATATTACACTTAAGTAGGACAACTGAACATCATATTTCTTATACATTTTGTCGTATAGCTGAACTGGCAACTGGGTTCTTATTATTCAGCACAATAAGCTAAAAGCATGGGCAGGCATGTTTTGATGGAGCATAAAAACCGACGTGTTCAACGATGACATACCTGCGCAGCAATTCAGTAAAACAATTTTTTTCGATGTTATCATATTATGCTGAGAAATGACCCCCAATTCGTCCGTTCAGGTATGCAGCAAATATATGAGAAATTTGAATGCTTACTTGCTCATTTAAGTATCATACCTGTTTACTCATGCCAGAAATACGTGTGACGCTAACCATGGTGCGCATAAATTTCCTAGGTTGCATGAATTTCCTAGGTACCGAATAAGTAGAACGCTGCAACGTACACAACCCCGTGACCAATGAGTAGAACACTGTTCCTCATACTCGAAGCGTTATCTGGGACGCATATCCATTTGACTAAATAGAAATGTTTTGTAAAAATGTTCCGCTTACTAGCCGGAACTTATGTGGAATTAGATTAAAAGTATAGACATACTAACTCGGACACGAACGGGCAGGAACATCCTGGACAAACTCGGGATGGCCGATCACAAGCAGAACGGCGATAAAAAATTCCTCCTCAGCTTGGTCAGAGAAAAGTTCCGCGTGGCTAACATACCCAACAACATGCATCCCGAACTAAATCAGGGTCGAAGAGAGAGCAGAGCCCGGTCTCACTACAAGCCTTTGGTAGCGACAAGGAAGCGCCGTTCATTGACGCGGCTGAATACGCGGATATCTACGTGCCTTCTCTGCGGCAGTCCGCAATACTGACAAACAATTGGTCAGATCATGTAGTGTACGCAGCAGGCACCCTAAGGTATAGCGGAAGAAGTGCCCATAGCCCTATAGTCATAGTTTGCCCCAATAGCTGAAATGTCCTGATTCGCAGACAGTGGTCAGAAATTATGCTCAAGGCAGTATTTCCCCAGAGGCTGCGACCATTCTTAAGGACAAAACGAAGTATATAACCTCCGAAGAGACGAAAGAACGACATATTATATGATTCCCAGCTCAAAAGCACCCCCCCCCCCCCCGCCCGTGCCCAACCTTAATGGGGAGGTCCATCGCATATAGCGCGAGGTCTCACGTTCCACGCCCGCGTAGATTGGTCCTCTTCAGGTGAAGGAAATCCCGTGGAGGGCTGAACAGAGAGAGATAGAATGACCCAATACTGCAAAATTATGAACTTTTGTAAAAAAATCGAGGCGTATTTATCCCCCACCAAGTCCCAAACTTGACAAATCTGAAGTGGTAGATTGGAGGCAACTACAAACCCAGACCTTTCGCAACCCTATTCATTTTAAAAGGATATACCTAGATGTCTATCCAAATGATACTTGCAAATTGTGCGGCTGGGCTCACTCATCACTTAGGCACAATCTCCGGGAATGTGCAGTTTTATTAGAAGAAAATGCAGTCTCCCCAGATGAGATTGCGGTGCGGTGGACGGCTGCGCTGCGCAGCTCCAACCTCCAGGATTAACTTTGGGACATTCAGCGAGCCCGCGAGGCGGCGAGGAGACAGGGTCTCTGGTCGTCCTCGGGGGTGACTTAGGTCCAACCACGAATTTGCCGGAGTTTGTAATAAAGTTGTTACCACCACCACCACCACCACCACCAACAACAACAACCTATACCGCATTCAAACTTCGCTCCACTAAGATGTAAACAGTCTTGCTGTGTGGGCGCTCAACCGATTAGGTCCCAGCTAAAACTGTGTTGGGATTATAAGAACGTGGACGAAATTGCCTTCGTGATTGGTTGAAATCGGCCTAGCCTTCATGGTGCTGATACCAGCTTGTGAGATGGAGTATAGTTTATCGGTTATGGAATGAGCTTTAGGTGTGCCTAAATGGTTGTGGCCCCACCACATAAAAACTTTGTGATCAACTATAATATGACACTTGTGCCTTTTAACTATATTCTAAAGGAAGAAAGAAAATCAAGTGATGCGGAAATAATAAAAGACATCTCCCATGCACGATTGGAGCGAAATTCGCACAGGAACACCCGTTTGCTAAGATTTACCTGTGCCTTAAAAAATCCTGCTGGTCAAAATAACTCCAGATGGTATGCCTTGTACTATAAACGTATAGTTACACACAATGATTCGTTTTTAAAATTTTCTTGAGCCTCTTTGTAGCGTCGTTAACATTGACAGAATTCGGTGGCCATTATTAACATGAAAAAAAAAGTGTCTCTCTAAGTACCCAAGCCTTCCTCGCACCACAGTCATGCACGAATCAATGAACGAAAGCCTCTGTGGTCAAACCGCCACGGTGGTCTAATAAATAACGCACTCGGCCACTGACCCGCAGGTCACGGGATCGAATCCCGGCAGCGGCAGCCACGTATTCGATGGGGGCGAAAATGCTTGAGGCCAGTGTGCTTAGGTTTAGTTGCACAATAAAGTACACCAGGTAGTCGAAGTTTCCGCAGCCCTCCACTACGGTGTCTTTGACAATCTTATCGGAGATTTGGTACGTTAAACCGGAACAATGGTGATTGAAAGCTCTGTTGTCTATTGGTGCTTCTTTCATACTGTTACTGGATCGAGAACGAGTGCCTTCGCGTTAAATGCCTCTGTAGATGTAAAGCGCTATATCAGCCACGTGTCTTTCCCGACTGAACTTATGTTGTCCAACATTTCATTCAGAACTCAATGATAATAGAAACAAAGCGTACGCGTATGGACACAAACGAAGCTTTTGAACTCACTGCACACCTATACGAGCTTTATTTCTTTCCCCCCCATCCAGTTGAGCGTGAAGCAATTACTAATGCAGTTCAGCGGAATTAGACCTATCCGCAGTGGGCGGGACACCAGCTTAACACGCACACTGAAAACACACACAAAAAACTTTCTATAGTGCGAATGCGCGCTACCAAAAGCGAGTATACTTTTCATTGGCAAAATGCGCTTCTCTCTCGAGTAACAGCACCGTTCGATAGGCTTCCTGCATTGACTCGTTTTTTTGTTTTTTTTTTGTCAACGCAACAGAGAGCATGCTACCACAGTTGTTACCAATACATCAAATCTCCCCCGCTTTTATAATTTCGCGTGTAAGCCGATTCTATTTCTTCCCACAGCTCTGCACGTGTCAAACGAAGGGCACAACCACAATTTTTACAATGCTTAGCTAGGAAACCACCGGCCACGTTTCTAACATTTAATGGCGCTCCAGCAGACAGATATTCAGACAGGAACCGGTTATAATGAACCCCAAAGGGTTTGGTTGGGTGGGAAAATGCATACATCCCTCCCCACCCCCTTCTTTTATATGTGTTTTACTATCTCACTGGCGTCAGCTATTAATGGGGAATGCGGCAAAGAATCCTTCTTTGTTCTGCCTTTCCCGTTGGCGGCCTACTGGAATTTTCAGGCTTCCTTCGTATACAATATTCTTGTTGTATTGACCTTGCCTGATGAGATGACTGAGAAACGCGGCCGCAAAAAAATAGTGAAACTAAATGCCCTCCAAAATGTAATCCCTTTTGTTATAACATTTTCATGTGTCGTGAAACACGTCATAGCGCTTTCTCCGACACATGGCATGAATGATAGAGAGGACTGTTTGTGCGTGGTAAGTTTGTTGGAGACGGTAGGGGCTTAATTGCGGAGCTTCAGGAATCCAACTGTGAAATTATTGTGACGCGAAACGTACAGGTGTGCACTTGACAGAGATGCGAATTGCGACAGGTGGCGTATCCGGCGAATTTTTAATAGAATCGGACAGTCATACTCTTTCGCTCACTGCGACTGCAGAGCTCAGTCTTCTGAAAATTTCTTTTGCTCGCACATGTTTTTGCCGCTTAATGCTTGGCTCATACCACCAGTGGAGAATCACAACACCAACCAGCTATTAAAGACGACCTTCCAAGCAGCAGTATCGGCATTGGAAACAAGAGCTGCGAATAGGCAAAGAAACACTCGAGCTTATCTGATAGGGCCGGCTATGCGCCGGAGGTAACCTCCCTGATAAGCCCCTGTGGACGCGAGGACATCTTCCGCCTGATAGTAAAAGCAACCCCCCGTGTGAATGACATTGTGTCGGCGGGATCTCTGGCGTTGACCCGACGAGTCCAGTTTTTTCGTGAGGTGCCCTTTTTTGGCTCGAAATGAAGCCTCTTTTTCCGTCGCTAGTTCCTTGGCGCAATGCAGCTGCCTTCGCCAGGCCATACTCTCAAACGGTTGCCGCTGCAGTGGAAGATGCGAAACCGGCAAGTGTCAAGCCTAAGCCTTTCAGCCAAGTTCCCAGGGTACCGTCACTGCCGTTGGTTGGGAGTTCATGGATGTACTGGCGCCTTGTGGGTAAGCGTTTCTATTTTGGATTATATTTGTCTTTTGTGGCTTAATCTGCTGTAGATTGGAAACTTTAGTATGCTGAAACGTGACCTTTTTCCGCAAAAATAAACGTGCGGGTACACAGAAAAGAGCAACCAGTTAGGTATAGCCTTGTGAATGGCCTATGAATCGCCTGATATATACTGTCACTTCCAGTGTATCGCTATTACCAGATGACGTTTTCACCAAAAGCTTTGGTGTTCAGGGTTCATTCGTGGCTTTCCATGAGCTGAATTTTATACAATCCAGGTGATGGTTCTTGTGGTTTATATTCTAAAATATAATGAAAGATACTGTATCAGCAAAAAATTCACTTTAGCACCTATTGATAACTAATATATAAATATAGGCATAGTTAATACACAATATAGGTATTTATACTAAAGCACCCACTGACACCAAGTTGTTTGTGCATCCTCAGGTGGTGGTAAGATTATAAAAAAAGTAGAGAGCTCGAACATGAAAGATACACTCGCACCACTCTTGAACCTGCATTTTATAGGATGTACAATTTCACTGCCCAAGAATGTAGTTCAACAGCAAAAACTTTTCACAATAGCCTGTCACTTCCTGTGCTCCAATACAGCAACACGCAGGATTGCTGTGGCGCTAAACTGAACCCTCTTTGGCATTCTGGAGTGATAAACTCTCACTCAAAAACACTCTCTTAGTATGCGGCAGTGGGTACTCTGCAAGTGTGCTTGTAGCATTTACCCAAGGAATGTGCAGTAAACGTAGCGGATTCCACAATAAAGAAATCAGTATAATACGAAAGGGAAACGTGCCTTTACAGAGATAGTTGAGTGTTTATTGCATATTGTTTCAGCAACAGCAACAAATTGCAAAGTCATGTTAGGATTGGCGAGGACCTCAAAACTTGCAGCTCACACCTCAAGCAGAAAGCACGCACAAGAGGAAGAGGAAGGTGTTATGTGAAAAGGAGGAGGAGAGGTCGGCCTGGCAAGCGGGTTTCTAGTCAGCTACTCCTCACAGGGGTGAGCAGTAAAGGGAAAGAAAGAGAAAGAGTAGGGCATGATGAGGGGTGATTGTGTGATTGTAATATAACACGATGAGTCACTGCACGTAATGTCTCGTTCAGTGTGGAGGGATGAAACTGCGTGGAGGGATGAAAGTGGAAAAAAAAAGTAAAACAAACAAGCGCTGTCAAACAACACTGTTATTGCAGGAATCAAATGAGCCTTTTAAACATTCACAGCCTGTTTGATATTTCCCTCTATTGGCTAACAATAGAACCACCAAAAGCCATAAAAACGTTCGTTAGAGAGTAATTGACGAACTAGCTAAATGCTACCTAGAAAGACACATGACTGGCCGCAAAAAAGAGAAAAAAAAAACATGACAAAACACGATCTGCATGAGAAAAGTGTGCGCGCGTGTATAACAGTCGCGTAGAACCAGCTTGAAACACGGCAAGCTGGGGCGTTACGATAGCCGAAGAGTGGGGTCGGTGATGAAATGACAGCAACACATGGAAGCACTGCTCTAGTATAACATTATTACCTTGTCGAAAAACACATCCTCTTTGTCATTCGGTGATGCGCCATCGTAATTTTGCCTATCAGGCTATCATGAAGTAAATGTGTCTGTTGGTTACGAAGACACGAACAACTCTAGAAATTGTACAAAATTAAGGCTGTTTTAATGACATCATACATACAATGCGAACGAAAACGAAGACATAATATTGACGCCAGGCGTTGACGTAGTTACCGTCATAATTATAGCAACAGGATGTTTTATGCACAAGAATTCGTAACATTGATTGGCAGCTAGAAGGTGACTGTGCTCTCGCACATTCTAATGAAAACTGTCAAGCGTTTTCTATACGCTTCAAAGCCTTCATTTTTGGAGCTCATCGCAGGTCCGTTGTGGGTTCTCTTCACCGGCAGCAGTCCATGTCGGCGCACTCTTACTAGATATAAATTTCAAACATGCGTCCCTTATCGTACGAGTACTAGGACTACAAGTCGATGACTACACGTATGCTAACTTCATACTTCTCATAGTGGCTGCCTTTGGCAATGCTTTGTAAAACACTGAGGATAAGAAGGTGCTTCAGGGGATAAGCTTAACAGATAGAAGCTCGCTGTCGACATCAGGAAATACAGACTATGGCCACACGAAAAGATAACGGCATTGACCCAAAACGTATTGTTCGTACAAATCGTGCGGCTAACATACGATTCTGATTGCACGTCACGTTTTGCTGACTCATGGCTAAGAACGGAGCCCTTTGAGAAGTTTCACCGCGCTTCATTATAATACTGGGAAAAATGACGGCTGTCATTCGATGAATGTCGCACCGTTTTGAAGACGGCTTAAACTTTATACCCACTTGAATTGATTGAAACTTCCCGCACTACTTTACCAACACAAGGTGCCATCGCTCTTATAGCATGAAATAGTACTTCAAAACACCCCAGAAAAAAATCATGATACAACTTACGAAAGCCGTGCTCTGATAGCTAAAAACAAGCTGTAGAAACCTTTGCTGACACATCGACTGGTGCGTCGGTAGCCTTAGGTAGTGTTCAGGTTTCTCGTGTCAGCCACTTGTTCCCACGACGTGATACTTGGATGGGATTTTTTGTCACGCCACCATGCCGTAATTGACTGTGCTCGCACGCAGGTGGAATTTTCTGTGTTTTCTGATGCGCCATCTACCGACAATAATCTCACTCACTCTGGCAAGCTTCTTGTTGCTTCCGATATAGATGTTCCCCCTCTCAGTGCCATAATTTCTCGTCAATCGCACTGAATTGTTGAATTGTCCGGCTCTACCGTTGTGTTCTCCCCATCTGACGTTTTCAGTCACCGCCACGCTACGTCTCTGCCATATGCCGTTCTGCCACCTCACCAAGATACTTTCGGAATTGCCGTTTGCAATCTTAGCTCATGCCCTTTCACCTTAAGAGCTCACGAAACACTGGGCTATGTTCTTCCTGTTCATGACAACGTTATTGTGCCTATTGAGTCCCACGACCCTGGCCAGCAACTTCAACTGAACGCTGTTACTCCCCCTTTTACGCGGGATGACTACTCCTCGGTTATCTTCGATCGTTCAATCGACAGCAAGCGTCCTCTGGATCAACCGAACCAGCTAATAACCCTTCTGCATGAATTCCGTGATTAATTTGACCTTCCTCAAAAGGCACTGAGTCAAACTAACACCGTCACTGACACAATCTACACTGGAATGCACCTTCTTTTGCGGCAACCCACCTACCGCTTATCACCCAAGGAACTAAGTTTAATTGCAAAGCACGTGGATGATATGCTTCAGCGCGGTGTCATCAAGCCATCTTCTAGCCCCTGGTCTTCACCTGTTGTGCTAGTGAAGAAAAAAATGCCGCCATATCCACGAAGTGAATGATGATGAGTGGGCGAAGCTCCGGAGGTAAACCTGGTAAACCACGAATCCTCCGTACATTTTGCCCACTCGATTTTATTTCAACGCTCCCCCTAGCGTACGTCGCCGCACTATATCGAACGATGACACGCGCCATATGTGGCATCATGCCTATTTTATAACACCTCGCATCTTTCATAATCAACTACACGTACCGCCGTCTAGTTTATAACATCTTGCATCTTTTGAACGGACGGACGGACGGATGGACGGATGGACGGACGGATGGACGGATGGACGGATGGATGGATGGATGGACGGACGGACGGACGGACGGACGGACGGACGGACGGTTGGACGGATGGATGGATGGACGGACGGACGGACGGACGGACGGACGGACGGATGGATGGATGGACGGATGGACGGATGGACGGATGGATATGGCTGTACCCTTTAGATCGGGCGGTGGCTAGCGTAATACTTAGAACTGAACGAGAGGTGGCTACATACAGGGGACGCACAGCCCACGCCTTAAGGAGCTTCGCTCCTAAAAAGATGGTTCGATTAGATTTTGTGTCGACTACCGGCGACTGAACTAAATTACACGGAAAGATGTGTACCCTCTTCCCCGCATCGACGACGCTATCGATTGCCTACAAGGTGCCGAATTCTTATCTTCGCTGAACTTACGTTCAGGTTACTGGCAGGTTCCGATGGCAGAGTGTGACCGTCCCAAAACAGCGTTCGTTACGCCGGATGGCCTATATGAATTCACGGTTATGCCATTCGGTCTGTGCAATGCACCTGCAACGTTCGAACGAATGATAGACAGCATTTTACGCGGCCTTAAATGGCAGATATGCTTATGTTACCTTGATGATGTTATCGTAATTTCTCCTGATTTCTCTACCCACGTCGACCGCCTGCGCACAATTCTTCAGTGCCTTACTAAGGCAAACCTCCAGCTTAACCTAAAGAAATGCCGCTTCGGGGCTCGCCAACTTACTATACTTGGTCACGTTGTGTCAAAGGATGGAATTTGCCCAAACCCGGACAAACTTCGAGCCGTAGCCAACTTTCCGTAACCGAGGAGAAAAAATTGCCCGCAGCTTCCCTCGGGGGAACACTGAGGAGGATGCGGAGCATATAATTGGTTAACGGGGTGTTAAAGTGCGACTTACTTGGGTCGATGGCTAAATTGGTTAACGTGGTTGTGAAATGGGGTGTTAAATTGCGACTTACTTGGGTCGATGGCAAAATTGGTTAACGTGGTTGTAGGAGGGGGTGTTAAATGAGTGAACACGTACACACGTATGCGAAAGGGCGGCGCTGGTCGAAGGGACGTCGATCATTGTGTTTGTGGATTCGTTGGAATTCATTTCACCGCGACCTTGGACGTCGACGCGCCGTACAAACCAACCGACGAGCGGCAACTGAGCGAGCGAGCGCCGACCTTGAGTATATATACAGCTCGACGGCGCATGCACTGTCAGCTGTTGAATGTTCTCGAAGCGCGACGCCACATGCGCGTCCACTGGAGAATCAGGAGAATTGTAGATGTCGAACGCGGTGTGTAGAGGAGGAAGGGTGCACA